ATATCATGTCCCCACGGAGCCCCGAAAGAGTTTCAATTAAAAACGGGATTTCAGAATTTTTTATCGACCTTAAAGCCATGCGGAACACCATGCGGTCGCATGGTTCAATTTTTCAGCTCATTTGGATCCCTGCAATACCCTGTGCGGCCGCAAGGAATTATAACCATGCGGCCGCATGGTTATAAAAATTTTCCTCCGGACAGTTTTCAGTATTTTGGTCATAACTTTCTTTCCTAATCTCCGATTGAGGTGATTCAAAGTGCATTGGGAAGAAAACTCAAAGATGTACACTTTTGATAGAAATAGGCTTCCTCAAATTCTGATGTTTACTATGCCAAAAATGGATCTCAAGTAGAAACTCAAAATCACGAGCATAACTTTTTCGCCTGAAATTTGATACTTGATAATACTTCGACCATATTTCACCTCTTGATTCCTTTCCTCATCCGATTGAACTTTAACACTCTGAATCTTCATTTCATTTCCCGTCTCATCTATGGATTATTTGCAACTTGGTCCTCGATCTATCGCTTTGTTCTGTTTTGGTCCTTTTTCGGCTCTTTTCTTCTGAATTCCATCTTTTCCATAGAAACACCTACATAGCATGAATTTAACAAGATTAAGTCATAATTCGACTATTTTGTCCATGTTTAAATCATGTTAGTGAGCTAAATAAGTGTGTGAAAACACACTTATCACAAAACCTTTGAAAAATAGACAACCATTTGGTTTGTGGATTAATGTCAGTTTAGTCAAGTCAGTTTCATGGTTTCAGTTCAGATTTTGACACAGCCATAAAAAGGTAAATGAAAAGCTATTTAGGCTAATTAGCACAAAACATCCCTACCTTTGGAGGTTTTTGTGGATAACGTCCCTACCTTTCGTTTTTTGGTGGAGAACGTCGCGCGGAATGTCCTTCTGTCAATTCTCCGTTAAATCAAATAAAATGGATATTTTCTTTTTAAAATGTAGGGGTAAGATCGTCCATCCAACATTTTCTTCACTGTGTAATCTCTCCCACTTCTTTCTTCTTCAAATGTTCAAGAAAAAGTAGAGTAACATGAAAAAAAAAACTTGAACAATATTATTTCATTCAATAAATTAGGGAAAATGACGTGAGAATGACTGCATTTCTGGTAGAAAATATTCATGACTACTGTAATACTGATTGTTCAAAACATTTTGGAATGCTTTATGAAAAGAATGAATATGTGGTTAATAAAAATGAGATATTCATCCTCATTTTGTGCTTACGAAGGGTGTAAATAAGAGGTAAAGTGAGAAGATCAATCAAAGTATGATTTTGTAAATGGACAATACATGTGATGGAGTGGAGAAGATGATAAAATATGAACGTGTTTTCTCCCCCATTTTAGCATAAAATTGAATTGGTGATAACAATCCCTACCTTGATATTGTCTTTGCGAAAAACATCTCTACCCTTACAATGTCCCTGCACAAAACATCCCTACCTTTACATTCTATTTGCGAAAAACATCCCTACCTTTGTTAAAAATTGTGCAAACCGTCTCTACGTATTTTGAGCCAAACGACCTGTCTAAACTACAGCCAAATACAATTCTGTTTATCCCTACAATTGAATGTCCGTAACACCTAGTTCGAACACAGCAAAACCAATACTCAACATCCAAGTTCAATAACAAAATGCAGTAAAATCAGCACTCAACAACCAAGCTCAATAACCAAACTAAGTAAAATGAGTACTTGACAATAATTAAAGAGTGCTCATTTATGGATATCCAGTTTGGAGAAGAGAAAATGTCACATAATCAGAAAGTGCCTATCTCTGTCCAGCTGTTCAAAATTATACACCTCTTATTTACACCCTTCGTAAGCACAAAATGAGGATGGACATCTCATTTTTATTAACCACATATTCATTCTCTTCATATAGCATTCCAAAATGTTTTGAACAACCAGTATTACAGCAATCATGAATATTTTCTACCAAAAATGTAGTCATTCTCACGTCATTTTCCCTTATTTATTGAATGAAATAATATTGTTCAAGTTTTTTTTTCATGTCACTTTACTTTTTCTTGAACATTTGAAGAAGAAAGAGGTGGGAGAGATTACATAGTGAAGAAAATGTTGGATGGACGATCTTACCCCTGCATTTTAAAAAGAAAAGATCCATTTTATTTGATTTAACGGAATATTTTAACGGGGAATTGACAGAAGGACGTTCTGCGCAAAAAAATGGTAAAGGTAGGGACGTTATCCACCAAAAAACGAAAGATAGGGACGTTATCCACAAAAATCTCCAAATGTAGGGACGTTTTGTGCTAATTAGCCAGCTATTTAAATAGAAGCTCCAAAAATTACAGTTAAGTCCATCACGAGAACAGTTTTCTACCACTGTATATCAAAATTCTTGCTCAAAACAAAAGTAAGCTGTTCCGGATAAAAAAGGCAACTGCTGCTGCAAAGCTGAGGGGTTTCTTGCAGAATCATCTGGATTGAACCTCGCCTCATTTGGGGATGCTCTCCGGTAGGTTAAAAGTCACACTGCTTTATAAAACTGAATTGAATAAACTGACATGAATCCACAAATCAAATGGGTATTTTTCAAAGGTTTACATGGGACGGGAATACTGGGTTCAAATGGGGAAGAAAGAGGAAAAACGATTTTAAGATAAAATACGCTTCGCTTAAATAAAAAATTGTATGGAAATTAATGGTAAGGACTTCTTGCACAAACAAATGTGTAATTAAATGTGAAAATATCAAAAAATAAAAGATAGGAATGTTTTGAACAATAATACTTAAAAGGTAAGAACTTTTTGTCGTAATTACCCTTTTATAATCTATATTACGTTGAAGTTGATACTCAAGAAAGGTCAAAAGAGCAATTCTCAATTTTACTTCTAGCAATGACTTGAATAACTTTTAGAGTTGATTATTATTTCTTATATTATAAATTAATTTTGCTCATTTCTCTTTCATACATCGTCTCATTGACTAGATGTAATTCATATATGATTTAGAATAATCGAACTCTCAAAATACACTTGAATGTTGGGTTTCTTCTTTATATATTTCATAATGAAATAAGATGATGAGATAAGGGTGTAGCTGGCTTGTGAGAAGGTTTTGTGTCTTTTTGAGTAATCGTAAGGTCAGTTGGCTTGTGAGAAGGCTTCGTGTCTTTTTGAGTAATCGTAAGGTCAGTTGGCTTGTGAGAAGGTTTCGTATCTTTTTGAGTAATAATAAGGTTGAGAGATCGAGCCTCTCTTGCCCCATTTCATTTTCATTTTTTTTTCTCTCTTATTCAAAAATCATTGTCCTGATTTCATTATAATGTCTTTCATCGCTTTTTATATTTTTTCCTTTTATCAAAAAATCATTGTCTTGATTTCATTATAATGTCTTTCTTTGCCTTTTCTTTTTCTTTTTTGGGCATGTAGTTTCTGTTTTCCAACTTTCCAGGGTCGTCTTGGATATCCAACGCATAAATTTCACAGAGAATTCTCATCATTACAGTCATAAAGAGCACCATTCTTCACATTCAAATGTAAGAAACACTTCTCAACCAGTGCAATGAAGGAATTTCATATTTTCAGTTTCATATCCAAAAATATACAAAGCTGATTTATATATATACGTAAATATAACTCTGCAGAGAATGTACTCATTGCTCAGGCAATTTGCACAATGAAAGATTTCTCAAAGTTCTTGACAAATTGCTTCACCAATTTGACAACGTATACCTTCTTTTGAAGAACAAAGAAACATAAGAAAAAATATATACTTTTAACAGCAGAATTTTATCAAGTGTTCTTCTCAAGAACAGAGAGAGCCGGAGTTAAGTAGTTATTTGCTTTGTCTGGTAAATGTGCAACCTATAGAAAGAAGAGAATTTGTGCCTTTATAAGTTAGAACCACTCAACCAAAAAGATACAATAAGAATATAAAAAGGCAAACGAAGTGTAGTCTTACCAGCTCGTAAAGCTCCTTCCCAGGTTCGGCAACGTATTCGTAACATACCTGGTCAGAAACGAGGAGAAATTAGCTCCATTTTGTCACAGACGAGTAAATCCAATGAAGAAGTACTCACATCAAAGCTTTTATTTCTTGCAGTTGAATCATGCAATGCTTTCACACAGATATCAGCCACATCTGCACAGCTTATCCCCTAGACATATCCACAGATTCTAAGATATGGTCTTAAAACAATACAAGGTTCCAGATAAATAGTTCAACTCTCACCTGAGATATTCTATTTCCTTGGTCGAAAATTAGAGCACGTTGCCCACCAGGTTCTTCCTGGAAAAAAAAAAAAAATTCTAGTGATAGGATAATTCATTGGATACAGGCCTTTTGGTTTGGAAGCCTAACCATAAATTTAAATACTATTCTGATTAAAGGATAATGCTTAAAATTATGGCAGGCATGTGCTTTTTCAATGTATTACCCCATTGGGTACTACGATTCATTCCAAGCAATATTTTGTGTCAAAACGTGCTTCTCAAAAATACAACTTATATGAGGACAGAATAGTCTTTTAAGCAAAACTTCATCCAGTTGGAAGAGGAAGGCCACACGGCAACCCCTAACTGGCTCTTGACTCCTCACACGAGTTGTGCTAGTTGAAATAAAATTTGGACCGTTGATTTGCTCCAATGGCTGAGATCTAACACCCTTTTCTAAAACACTGAAGGGACAGATGGTTTTGGTCATTCTTGGTTCTGGTTTTGAGAGACTTTTGGTTTTTTCTCTCTAAGGCCCCGTTTGGTACCCATTTTTTTAAAAATACATTTTTTCTCTCTCTTTTTTTCAATCATACATTCTTTGTTAAAATAATATTACACGTAAATTAAAAACCTTTACTTATTTTTCAACCACACATTGCCCATCAATTTACTATTCTAAAAATACATTTTTACATAAAAATGGCTCCCAAACACCCCCTAAGTTTTCTCTCTGTCTCCTTCTGGTTTTTTCTTTCAAGATCTCTC